GTCCTATGATCGCACCCTCTCTGCCTCCACTTTCCCTGTGTTTAATGTGAAGTGAAGATGTTCCAGTGTTTATAGCAACTGTCATTATAAACATAGCGTGAGCCTCTACCAATCTAAACAGCCAATACGCCCCACGAATAACTTCACTTCGACATAGAAAGCAATCTGTTATTGCACATATGCAGACATGCTGTCAGTGATAAAAGGCCCGGTTTTATTGGTTTATACAGACTAAAACCATCCATGTGAAGTTTGTTAAACACACTCTCAAAAGCACTTATTTTCTCAGTGAGGGAATAAGCAACAGTTTGACATCATATTTATACTTTAGTATACTTACAGTAAGCACAGTACAGTAAACGTTCAAATGAAACTTCCATTTTAGAGACATTATTGAGAGTTTGAAGATGAAGCAAGATGAACCGTTAAAGGGATACTCCGCCATTTTTTTTTCATATCAAACTATGTTATTCCCTTAACTAAGATGAGTTGATACATACCTCTGTTGTCTCTGACATGCGAGACACTTTGATAGCGCTTAACTTGCCCAGTTCATTCAATATGGGCCAATGGCCAATGACGCTATATGACAAAATGGCCAAAGACTACGCACATGGCACCCGTTATCGTTAAAATAACACGTGCTGTGATGGGTAGGTTTAGGTGTGGGGTAGGGTAGGGTAGTCTCATATTACACTAAACGATTTATGACGTCTTGGGTTCGCGTGTTATATTAACGATAAAGGGTGCAATGTGCGTAGTATTTCGCCATTTTGTCATATAGCGTCACATATGACGCTAAAGGATGAGAACAGGCTGAAATAACATTTAATATGAAAAAAAAAAAAAAAACGTGGAGTATCCCTTTAAGCAGCTTCAAACAAACTAGTGGTGTTTTGTTCCTTACTGAATCTGGACGAATTGGTTGAGTGAATAATACAACGACTCACTTATAAAACCAGTGGATTTGTCATGTCAGCTGTCTCATTTCAGAGAAGTAACTGTTTTAAAAATGTACTATGAGGTGTTAATTACTGCAATTTCTTCCTTACTTTAGAATGCAATGGTAGCTTTTCTGAAATAAGAGCCTCGATGACGTGAAGAATTTGAAATGAGTCCTGTGAATTATTCAATGCGTTTTAACAAACGATAGGATAGCTGCAGCCTGCAGGTCATAATGGGCTTGCCAAAAGGTAGGGGCGGCGCTGAATGGTACAAGCTAACCCCTAACCCTATACCCCACACCATAACAGCCAGCTTTCGCAAACAACCATTCAAGTGAATGTAATGTTGTAAGACTCCGTGTGATCTTTATGCCCTACAGTTGCTGGGAAACTTAGGTTTACTGTATCTGAAATTCCCAGAATACTCTGGGCCCCAACCGACCTGTCAACACATTCCTAAAGCTCCATTCACTCTCTAATGGGCTAGAATACCGTTTCATCCTGGCCCTGATTGGCTCACTTCTGAAAGTTCTGAGGCGACATAACTTCAGCTCTGTTTACATGGATCCCGGGTTGCCATGAAGACATTGATTGTTAATGTTGCAATACAGTGGGAGTTTTGACAGGTCGGACACATTTTTATGTAACTGCTCTTGTTGATTGATTCTGACACTCTGATATTTTTATCTCTCAGATTCAGGGCAGAGAAATTAAGGTTAAAGGTCATGCTTTACAGGCCATAATGTCCAACAGGAAGGAAGTCTGTATTTTATAAATGGTTGAAGGGAAAAAGATAAGATTTTGCAATGTTGCCGCAGGTTAGTGAGTATAGTAGCTGTCATATCCTTGTATTCCAAAACCGGTTTTAAATCCATCGTTACATAATCCTGGCATGTCAGAGCACAGAATGGCAGAAACTCCTTGTAGTCATAAAATCTCACAATATTATCATCATAATATAAATCCAGTAGAGACATTAAGACCTTTGTTTTTCAGCACTCCCCATATAAAGAAGGAAAGGGCTTTTATGACTTTCATATCTACTCCTGCCTTTGGGGACAGCATTACGCCATTGAAAGTAAACAGAATTTATTCTCAGGTCATGCCGCTGCTGGTTTAATCACGTGAGTGACTCATACAGTAACTTGAAAATGAATGAATGAAAGAAAGGAAATAGAGAGCAAAATAGATCTGACCCAGGCGATGTGACCGTTTCCTGACTTTCATTCACAGACTAAACAAGTTTCCCACAACAACAACAAAAAAAAAATGTGTCATTGCTGGTGTTTTTATTCAGTTGCAGTATTTTGGGCTTTTAAAGGGGCTATATGTAGAATGCAGAAACCCTTGTTTTTAGCGACACAGGTGGCCATTAAGTGAACTGCAGCCAACAACTTATTTCGGTTGATCGTGCCTATATTTGTACAAGCTCTCCGGCATCATGTCAACACATTAGGTCATTCAAATGACACTGTTAGGATAGTTTGATTATAAAGTATAGTATTACCATACTTTCATCATTTATTTTTTGTATATTTGATTGTTTATTGAAAATCAATCATAAAACTGTTACAAGTTTCTATGATAATCTAATCAAAGAATATCAAATGACCATTTCCTCTACTGTACAGATTTATTTAATAAAAAAAAGATTTAAAATAAAGAATACATTTACCACGACGGAGATGACAGAATATATGACTATATATTATAAAATAAATAGTTTTAGAGAGTCACATATTTATTTGTGTGTGTTTTTCTCTTTTGTGCTGTGAACGAGGTGTTTTCAAACCAGCACAGAGGGTTTGAATGTTTAAGGACCCTCCTTTTTATCTGCATGTGTTGTGAGACAGGGTTGCCAAGAAGAAGAAGAAGAAGAAGAAGACGGAGCAAAAAAAAGTTATTTGTTTGAGTGAACCCTCCTCGCCCTTTCCCATTTGCTATTGGATGTGAGAGCAGCCAATGAGTGGGTGGGGAGGTGGACTTCCTGTGGGCCAACTACACGGGCCCCACATGTAAAATATTCCTGACCTCTCCCATGGTGTTTATTTTAAAAAGAAAAAAGGAAAACGTTCCCCATCATTAAGGAAAACACTGAGCCTGTGCGTGTGGTATTTGGACGCTTGCCTGGTCTTCGTTTTACTGTGCCGTGATTGGTGGAGAGGATCCATCCTCTCCCCCCTCCCCCTACAGAACAAGCTCTTTACATGTGGCATGTATGAAGCATGCATGTGTGTTCTGATGTAGATAAGACATCTGCCCAAGGTCATGTGTATGTAGATGCAATCTCTTCCAGTCCACATGTCTCTAACAGGTCCTGTAGACAGTGATAAGAGCACGTTAGGAGAGACAAGATAAAAAAAAGCATTCATTAAACACAGGAAGTGAAGGGCAAATGTTAAAATGATTTTGAGATTTGAAAGAAAGGATTGAAGGGCATAAGAGAGATAAGAATTACAATATGAGCAAGAGAGGCTATGGATGATGATTTTTAATAATAGTTTGGTGGGTTGAGAAAAAAAATCTACATGTATCATCAGTGTTTATTTGGCATCAAAGTAGGCTACATATTTTAGACTAATTTTAGAATGTTGAAAAAAAAATCATATAATGTAATTATTTTTCAATAATCAATTATATCATGCAAACAAACAAATAAAGAAAGAAATAGAAAGAAAAAGATGATTTACAGTAAATATCTAGCGCCCCCAGGTTGTTTCTACAAAAACATTGAAGATTGAAAGATCGATAGTAAAATGCTGCCATCTATTGGTAGCGACAGTCGTCAAATTCATGACTTATTAAAAGTCAGTGCATTCATTTATCATGAAAAACCTTTAAGAATATTCACATCGTTTTTAGTGCATTTCATTAAACAGTCCATACATTCTGTTAGCCATCACCACAAACATCAAACATCCATGTAGAATACAGACTTTTTTATATAGTTCATTTTATTGCATAAATCACAATATATCTTGATTTTATGCATACATTATAGACATTTTGTGAATGAAATTAATTATTTATGTGTGGAAAAATTTTTAGAATGTTTTTTGTTGTAAAAAAAAAAAAAAAAAAGGTTGGAGTGTTTGTCCAGATGGGATTGTGTGAAAGAGACATTCAAAACTATGTGCTCAGTAGTTTTGACATTTAAATGGGTTCATTCAGCCTTCTTCCATTTGCACTGAGAACTTCTCTCACTTTGAAGATCTTATCTCACAGATGTTGCTGGATATTTCTTCTAAAGATGAGGATTGGTCTCTTGTTCTCCTCAATTGCTAGCACATTGTTAGGTAAATTCATATGCAGCATGAGTCTGAAAATGCTTTACCTTCCTTCGCCACTTGTGTCAATTCACATATGAATGTATTTAAAGCCACACTATGCAGCTTTGATATTTTTGTGAAACAGTGACCCCTAGAGCCGCTGTGGTGTACTTGCACTGTCCTAAATAACCATAACTCCCCTGTTACTGTAGTCTACTGAACTACTGATGATGGTAATAGGTTAATAATAACACACTTTAAAAAATATTGTAGGTTTAACTTAAAAAATTAAGTAACCTGGTAGCCTTAAAATTTTAAGTTGATTGAACTGGAAAAAGTGAGTTAATACAATGAAGGAGATTGATTTAATCATCAAAAATTCAAAATAATAAGTTATCTCAACTAATTAGTTGATTTGACAAAAGAAAAAATGTTGTGATAACAAATCTTGAAAATATTTTTTTTACAGTGTATGTCAAGTGTTAAACTACTTTACAATAATAAAGTGCCTGTCGCGTTTGCTGGCTTATAACGTTTTTACATGATTTCTGCTAAATCACAAGTAAATAGCCTCTATAGTGTAGACTAATGTATAATTTCATTTGTGTTTTTTGATTGTAATGTAAACATTACAAAATGTCAGATGACATTAATAAAGTTAAATGTATGTCGCATTATTTCATGACATTGGCCGTTATGATTTCATTAGACATGATTATCATAATAGTTAGCAAATTGTTTGTAATTGAATGCAATTTTTTAAGTTGAATTGATTTCTCTCTGTCAGCCCGCAGAACCTCTAAACTTGAACCACTATGCCACCAAGAAGAGTATAGCAGAGAGCATGCTGGATGTGGCGCTGTTGATGGCGAACGCCGCTCAGCTGAAAGCCGTACTGGAGCAGGGCCCTGAGTTCAAGTACTTCCTCACCGTCATCATCCTCATCGCCGCGTCACTCTTCTTCCAAGTGCTCGCAGGTGCTCTCTTCGTCAACATGGGTGAGCATGAAGTCATCATCATGCACAAAATCTGTCAGGGATTTTAAAGGGTTAATCACGATGGATTTAGTAATTCCTGTATAATCTTTCTTTTCCAGCACGCAAAAACCTCAATGATGTGGCCAATCAGAGACAGCTGGACATAATGAATAATGTGGCCACAGGGCTGGTGTTTCTCACCGTCATCATCAACATCTTCATCACCGCTTTCGGAGTGCAGAAGACAGGTCTCTATCCGAAACAGTAGCCTGTATAGGGGATTCTGCCTTGAATATGTTGAATATGCATGCTACAGTAAAAGCTAATTGAGTTTGAATCAATCTTGTGACTGTTTCTTTCGTGTTTTTAATGCTTATAATGAAGGTCACATCCATTCATGAAAGACTTCCTCCGGACTTTGATATTTGATATTTAAAAGACACGATTATTTCTCTTTTTTTATTTATTTCTTAAGAGGGCATTATATTATAAACAGTCTATAAACACTCATTTATCCTAGACTGTCCAGTGATTTCATATTGCCTAAAAGCAAAACTTATGCATCATCTAATAATTGTTTTCTAGATTCATCCTGCCAATTGTAGCCTAAATGTTAATCATAAAAACAATAAACGTTTATTTAGATAGATCACAATACATTCATCACATCATCATCATCATCAATGCTGCTTAGTATTTTTGTGTATTTTTTTTGAAAAATGAAAAGTTAAGTCAGCATTTCTTGTCACTGATATGTTTTTTAACATTATAAATGTTAACATTATAAACCTTACTTTCACTTTTGATCAATTTTTACGCTTCTTTCATCTTCTAAAGGAAAAGCTATACTGACCTCTAGTGGAATATATTGTAATGACCTGGCAGTCAGCTCTAGCAGCTGGGTGCATTATGGGTAATTATTTATTGAGAGTTGATTTATGTGTTATTACAGCAAGATCTTTAAGTTATGTTTGTTAATGTTCAAGTTGATCAGATGTTCTTGGTTTATTTACTGCCTAATGTAAAAATGTGTCCCTCACCGTCATGGAGAGAGATGTGTAAGGCAATAGTGGCCTGCCTGAGTGATACCCGATAGTTTACAATTGATAGTAGAAAAGACATCGTTGTAATCTCCTGTTTGTTTATTCAATAATTGCTCCATTCAGAGAAACACTCAGGGTCACGCGGTGTACGGGACATGAATGTACTTGTGTCATGTTAGAATTTAGCTAAGTAAAAGTGTTATTAGCATAATTAATTTAGTTCCGGTTGGACAGACGTTTTATGGACACTAGTTATTACAATATAACTATATTGCACTAACAGGCAATTGGAAACAAGTGATAAAAAATGAATAAATTCTTTTCAGGCTTTAAATATTAATTAAATGTGACTTTTGGATTTATGTACACTGACTAAATAAATATAGATATAAATAATAATATAAATAATAGGTCAACATCAGTTTAATTATGATGGCTTAGAATTGGTTGAGTTGCTTTATTTCATTGTTACATTGCAGTTTGAAAATGTTTTCAGTAAGAATGATGGTGTAATTTACTGACAGTGATAATCTGATAACTCGTCACTGTGTTAAAGGAAAGAGACTAGAGGATAGTTTATAAACTGTTAACTGAAGAACTGAAGATAGAACATCCTAATCCTTTTCTTGAACCTATTTCAAGCAGAAATATCAGTCAAACTCAAACGAATTACACAGAAAACCAATGCTTCTGGAGGAGGACTTCATCGTTTGGGTATACATAGGCCTATATGAGATTTATAATGAATAAGAAATATTTCATTTTCTGCACTATATGTCACTAATCAGATAAAGCAAACTTGTGACACTGACCATGTGAATTCACTTGTATAAAGTGTCAAAGTATTTCTTAATAAAAAAAGACAAAAATAGATGCTGCTGAAGCGCAGTGAATACAACCAGCACATCATCCTCTGTACAGTCTGTGTGGTGTAGAAGCGCTCGTGCACGGTCATGGAAGCCAGCGTCGGGAGCGAGCATCCCGGTTCGTTACGTCACTCGAAGCGCCCTGGCTCGTAGGTCTGGCAAAGAGAGGAAGAAAACGACAGAAGTACTGTAAAACAGGGCTTTCCCCGCGGTTATCAGCTCTCAAAGTGATAACGGTCCGTCTACAACACTAGATACAGGCACAGCCATCTCACCAAACCGGACTAACCTCTTGTGAAATAAGGTAAGGAGCTTTTCAAAGTGAATTTCCTCAGCTGAAGAGTCTGAACTGCTCGGACACAGCCCATTGATAGTGTGGGATTACGTGGAGATATATCTGTATATTGCACACTAACGGTCTATATAGGTTCTATGTGCCCAGACAAACTATAGGGAAGGTAAATAAACCTTATATTTCTCAATATGCGCATGAGAGACTGATAAAATAAAACGCTGTTGCGCCAGCAAGCAATGGAGGAACAGGGGGAGGGAAAAGAAGAAAAAACACATATATTGCATGTAGGAGAAGGAGCACAGGAGTCTCTTTCCATTCTCTTGTTTGTGAATCGACATAAACAGACAATCTGGACACTGTTGTGTGGTGAAAACCTCTAAGAATCCGTCCAAAGCTTCAGCCTCGGCGGTGTGAAGCTTCTTCAAGAAGAAGCTCATGTGGATTTCACTCTTTCATTTCTGATTTATTTGCTTTTCCCACCGTAAAACTAATTTAAAGCGTTGGCGAGACTGTTATAACATATTCGTAATATGTCTCCTCACTCTGTGACGTCAGCAGGAAAATATGTATCGGTTACAAAATACCTCAGACGATAGATTATAGTCACAAAGTGTCTCCTTACTGGGGAAAATATTTACCAAAACTACAAACGGAGCAGTTGTGTTTATTGTTGAGCGAAACAAACCCGCAAACACAACATTATTGTTTAAAAACAGATGATGTTGTTGTTATGTAGGACCCTGCAAGTAGTTGAATCGAGTGTCATTCCTTACGATTCTCGTTAATGTGATTGGCTCCTCTCTCCGTCTGTGTTTTTTAATTTTTACAATTCAGTTTTTATTACTTCATCTTAATTGAGAGGATACATGGAGTTTTGTACTTCATTTTTGTATTCTTTACATTTTTGATGTAGGCTAATTAAGTTAAATGCATATAATTGTCAAACCACATGACTATATAAGTGAACTACAAAAACGGTGATTAAACTATTTAAAACTTTTATTAAATTACGTGGACACTTTTGACTAAATCTGTACAAAACCTGAGATTTGTTCTATTATTATTTGCACAAGGTCGTTAAAGTATTATAAATCAGTCAGATGCAGTGATTCAACAGGTGTTTTTCAGATCAGTGTTTTGAGTCCTTTCGTAGTTGATTCAGTGGAAGCCTGTGCTTGTCTAAATGTCCCCCTATGTCTAAAAATCACATGACATATCACACATATTCTCCTGTGAAAATTGTCAGTAGATAGACCAACAGTGATTTGATGAGCACATTGAGCAAGAAGTGCTTGCTTGCTTTCTCTCTGTTGTGTGTATCTCAGCAGTTTGTTCCCCAGTTGCAACATTAGGCCTATGTTCAATTTACTGGATCAATCCTGTGTGTGTGTGTGTTTGTCAGGGTTTGAATGGGCAGCTTGAGGCTGGACATTGAAATCAAGGTTTATCTGTCTATCTGTCTGTCTGTCTGTCTGTCTGTCTGTCTGTCTGGCTGTGTAACTGTCTGTTTATCTGTCTATCTATCTGTCTGTTTATCTGGTTGTCTGTCTGTCTATCTGTCTGTCTGTTTGCCTATCTATCTATCTATCTATATATCTATCTATCTATCTATCTATCTATCTATCTATCTATCTATCTATCTATCTATCTGTCTGTCTGTCTGTCTGTCTGTCTGTCTGTCTGTCTGTCTGTATGCCTGTGTGTCTGTTTTTCTGTCTGTCTGTCTGCCTGTGTGTCTGTCTGTTTATCTGTCTGTCTGCCTGTGTGTCTGTTTTTCTGTCTGTCTGTCTGTTTTTCTGTCTGTCTGTCTCTCTGTCTGTCTATTTGTCTGTTTTTCTGTCTCTCTGTCTGTCTGTCCTTCTGTCTGTCTGTCTCTCTGTCTCTATTTGTCTGTCTCTCTGTCCGTCCGTCCATACGTCCATCCATCAAAACGTCCAAAAATCAGATCAATATATTGTACCGGTCTATCACCGATTTTAATGCAGAAAGATTTCAATTTTGCGTGTGTTTATCATGCAGTGAAAATACTTCTGGAATACAGAGTTTGAACTGTGACTCCTCGGACCCAGAACTATCCCAGAAACCGTGATGGACACCTGGTTTGGATCATATCTGCTGTCTGTTCAGTGATGAGAAGATCTAAGCACGGTCTAAAACCATCTTTAGTAGAGAAAAATGATAGGTGTTTGTTTTAATAAATTCAGACATAATTATCAAGATGAACTGCTGAGATTAGGGTGTATATGAGATTTCCGTCTGTGAGAACTACCCTTATGTTTATTTCATCTCTGGAGGGTGTAAAACATGAGGAATACAGTCGCCCTGACTGCTTCTTGGATACTGAGACATGCAGGGAAGTTTGTCTTGTGTCAGCGTGTACCAGCATGATTTCGTTTCTCAAGGGGAAGGTGTAGTTCGATAGTGTTTTGAGGATGATGAAAAATGTATTTTTATTTTCTTTTGGATGTGGACGTGTTATGCAATCTGGTATGCTAAAGGGGTCATATGATACTTTTTATTGTTTTCCCTTTTACTTTGTGTAATGTATCTGTTTGTGAAAATTTCACAGATCCGACCCTCCTAAAACGCCTTGGTGGAAATCCAGATATTACTTTCTCAAACGTCCAATATTCGCATACATATTATGAATGTCTCTTTTTCATACTACACAAAATTTGGCCTATTTTTTTCCTGTAGCATTTAAAGTGATTGATTTGTTTTTTTTAGTTTATTTAGTCAAAACACCATAGAATGTTTATCAATTATTGGCCATAACAAAATAATTACTGACTTATCTATATCAGCAGAATTCGAATGTCTTAGTCTGCCCATCCCTATACAAAATGCCAATGTGAATTCTTATATTAGCACAGCATGCTAATGAAAGCAGCGGCACCATTTTCATGAGTGACATCACCCCAGTTGTGTGTCCTCTGCTGACCCCAGCTTCCACATTTTCATGACGTCTTTCACAATTACACATTACCTGCACATGCAATAGCAACTCAGTGACTGAGATAGATCGAGATAGAGAGAGGCCCTCGTGTGCTTCAGCATGTCAAGAGCGGGAAGCCCATCTTTGACCTAATTAACTCATGCAAACAGATGGACTGACCAGGGGCCTGTCAGGCCAGAAGAAAAGCACATTCAACACCGTCTCTCTCATTTCATCCTAGCAGGTCAGAACTGGAGATGAGAATTGATTCGTTTATCCCAGAAGAAGATACAGCCAGTTAAAGCTGTGTTTGCTGAAGACTTTGTATGGCTTACAGCTCTAAAGCTGCAGGCATGTGCAACGCTAATGTTTAGCCTAATACTGAAAGCTTTATAGCGGTTCTAGCTAAGACATGCAATTCTATTATTACTCTGTTAAAGTGCCCTTAAATGCTATTTTAAAGGTTTACTACAATAGGTTTACATGCATCCAAGGTAAATCTATGATAATATACATTGCAGCATCAGCTCTTTTCTCACAGTGTCTGAAATTGTTTGAAAAAGGTTTCCATCTGATTGGTCAAATGGCTCAGTCTGTTGTGATTGGTTGACCGCTTACGGCATGTGTCGGAAATGAAACACCCATTACCAAATGGGTCCCTCAGCACTTTTGTGATATGAGCAGTAATAATAGTGTCTGTTTTACTGTATCAATTTCAGCGCTTGTTATTTGAAAACACACACACACACACACACATACCCTCAAAAAACAGCATCTTCTTGACATGTTGGCAACAGGAAACAAACTCCTCCATGCCCAGTGTTTGAGGGCGGGTCTAAGTATTTGCTGTTCGCCGTCAGCCAATGAAGACCACAGGCTGGCATTATGCAAATTTGTTGCAAACCCATGTAGGTTCATGCAGGAAGTAAAACTGACGTAAAACTAAACGTTTCTGATTGGTGCCTCGATTTCGACGGATTGAAAATGGGCTTGTGCCAGACTAACTTTCAGAGCAAATCTAAATTTGCCGGAAGTTGTCTGGGTTTTCCCAGACTACAAGAAAATATTACTCTTAAATACTATTTTTTTAATTTATAAATATTTTTTATAATTAAAATATTTTTTAAATACAGTTTTTCTACTTCAAAATTGCACATTAAATTTCAGTTTCTTCGTAATTGACCGTTTGGAAAGACCCGCCTCCCTTAGTTACTGTCGCTATGTCCGACAAGCTACGCTCTCACACACACACACAACACCATGTTCTCACGCAGTGAAAAATACATTGCGGACTGACAACACTCTGACAGACAGGCCAGACTAGGTTACTTTTCAGTTACTTTTGATAGTAAACATATTAAACAAAGTCTCACCTTTCAAATTTGGTCATTTTTTTAAAGAAATTTAAACAATAAATACTGTTTTGTGGCTCTTCGGCGTGACAGAGCATCAGTTATCTCTTCCCTCTAGTTCATTTATAGCATCAAATAAACATGAATGAACATAAGAAGGAATGTTATTTTAACCACAGAAAGGCGTCAGTACACACCATTTTTCAAGTTCAAATCCTCATGTTAATCTACTAACTCTCCTGACTGCTTTGTCAGACAAAATGGCAGATGGCGAAGCATGATTGGTCAGATCACCTGTCAATCAAGCTCCCTGCGTTTGTGGAATTTACTAGAAATTTCTGAGGCAAAATTGTTTTTCAGTTTGTATTTTATTGACAGTCAGCCACCATTGGATCTCTCGACATCAGTATCGGAGTTGACATTCAGAGACGTTGAGAGGATAACCAAGTTTTAGAGAGATGAAACCAGTTTTTCTGTGGCTTCTTATTGAGTTATCTGTCACCTGTCTCATCCTTTTCCACATTAGAAATAAGATCCTCATGTTGGATATCTGACAGATATCTGATTCATTGCAGGGTCCCCACAGTTGCCGGAGTTTTATGTGCATATAGAGATAGATGTGGATTGAATGAAATGCGTTCTGGTTGTAGTTGTTTGAATGCTGATGAATCCGCCTGTCTAGATGTTCAGTGATGTGAAGTGACAGGCCGTCAGGCGTCAGGCGGAGTGTTTTGAGTGAGCTCAAAGCTGACCTCTGTTCCCTCCTATAAATATAGACTAGAGGCAGAGGCAGGCACACACTGTCTCAATGATGCCGTAACTGAGCCAAGAGCCAGGCAGAACGAGAAGGAGATCTTGGACAAAAAATAAATGAATACTGTAAACCAACAAGTGGCTAGTTTAAATTTATACCGTATTGATTTTTGAAGGCAGCTTTGCAGTTTGAAAAGTCAGTATACTGACAGCAATTTAGGGTGTGGGCTTTGAAGGTTTGGTCATGTGTTCTGACTCAGCACTCAAAGCATTACTTTAAAAGATTGGACTCGGTTTAGCTTTGTCATTCCTGTTGTCTGCCGTTTATCCTCAGTAGAGAAGAAAGGCGGGGTCATACATTGAATATTCATTGTATAAACAATTTCAGTTTAATTAATTAATTAATTTAATTTAAAGAGACATTTTGTGAAAAATATCCTGTATGAGGTGCATTTAAATGAAAATGTGTTATATAGAAATCTTCTGTGCTGAGTTTTAGTGGAAAACCTTATTATTTTGTAATCGATTTGTACTGTATTTACTACTAGCATTCGTTTTGAGTTTGTTTGGCAAATCTGACTGCAAAAATCACACTTTTAAGCCATTTCAGAAAACATTTTGTATGAGTTTATATCTGAATTGGAATAGCGTAAAGGCATTTTTAAGTTCTGTACTGTTCGTTTACCTCTCTCTTTTCCCTCTCACTTGACTGTATGTGCTTTCCGGAGGCTTAAACATTCATTTTTAGCATTTGGAGAATGGTTTTATCTACTTTTGCTTGTAAGTACAACTCAACCTCTTCTAGACATATTATTAAAAATAAGTCGAAGAGTTCTATGTTTTCCAGTTCTGAGAGCGATTACATTGTAATCCTTAGTTTTGGTCTATTTTGTTGGTGAGGATTTAGGTCAAATGTAATGGAAACTTACTTTTCCACGAGGCAGTGTAATATCCCTGTTGAAGAGAAGAGCAGATTGCTGTAATGGAAGGAGATATGGCTGGAAGGAAGGATTGGGAGATAAAGAAATGGAGGGAGGGTACGTTTTCTGTGTCCGGTCCACTGTCCAGGTGTAATCCACCTGCCCGGGGCGAGCCAGATGGCAGCTGCTTCACTGGCAAGGACTGTTGTAGTTCTTAAAGGAACAGTTCACCCCATAATAAACATAGTCGTTTTACATTATTTATGTTTGCACTGAAAAAAAAGCTGAGTATTTTCTACTCATTTGAAGTTTACTTTGCTATGCTCTGTTTCAGGTTTAATTTATCCAAACATTAAAACACTGAATTAAAGCACATGTAAGCTTTACTTTGAACGTTTAAGTACATAAATAATTCAAAAGATATTGTGTAGACAACATATTTAGATAATAGAAGTAATGTACCACCCGAACACAGAGATCTGAATACTTGGTACACACTACACAATAATGTTGTGTATGATAATTGTTAAGGATGAATGTGGCTATAAGATTTTTTTTTACCTTAAAATAAAGTTTAAGTGGTTCATCAAGTCGTAACAAGGTGAACAGCAAGTTACTAAACCTAACAACAAAAGCAATGCTAAATAAAATTTTATTATTTATTATGATGAAATTATTCATGCTCCAGTGCATGATGGGAACACGAGAATCATCAGAAAGTTGAGGTTTTACTTACTTTTATACAATTGCTTTAATTTCTATAAGCTTAAATTGAGAACTAATATAGATTTTATATTTTCAAAGCTAGCTTGCTATTACTAGCCTATGTGAAATTGCCTTACTTTTAATCAATACAAAGCGAATGATTATGCTATGCTATTATGAAACCAAATCTCTTATCACACAATGTATACAGCTTTGTAAATGCTCAGAGAGAAGGACTGTTTACTTGAGTCCAGCCACAAGCGGCAGCTGCCTTTTGTCTTGTGTGTTTATCGCCGATGAAATACTTCATTGTCTCTTATAAAACACATCTTTGTTTTGTAGCAATACTGGGTCACATGACACGAGTGGCCCTTCTACACACGTGATCTCTTCTATAAATGCTATTTTATCACTAATTTAACTAGTTTTAAAGCAAAAGGAAGTGGTACAGACTGTTCAATTCATCTGGTTGTTAAGTTTAAAATGATAAACCCTTGATATTTGCCACAAATGCAGTCATTTCTAGGGTAATTTATTGAGGAGATGTTGGCAGTGGACATTGGAGCCATGTTTTGGTCTATCCCAAAGGCCAGGAAAATGCTCAATGGGGTTGTGATCATGCCCAAGCCAGCATCGCCACACTCTCTCAGTAGGAAAGAATCTGAAGTTAGAGCCGCAGTGCGTTTCAATGGAGTAAATCTACATGAAAATAAACCCAACATGAAGTATGTCGACCACAGACTCTCTTCAGACTGAAACTTGGACTGTCAAACGCATACACAAACACAATATACAGAACAGTTTGTGGAGGCTGTGATGGTCTCTGGTAGATAAGATGCACAGGGGTCAGCGAGACCACAGAGCTCCTTCCTCTGCCGCTGTTGAACGGAAGCCAAATCATTAAAGCACAGGGCATGCCTAACCCTGTCACATTCCCTGAAGCTCAGACAACATGTTTTAAATGCCTGCACTTATGTAACGGCCGTTTACGCATTAATCCTCCTAGTTCATATCATAAAATGAGCTTCCATGATATAAGTAGCTCAACTAAAATGTATGAAACCTGTCAGATATTAAAGCAAGACTGTGGTGAGAAGATGGAGAGAGATGTGAGAAGTAGGGCTGAGAGTGCAGAATAGGTATTGGACTGAAGCCACAGAGCTAAAGTAAATACGGTGTGGCATGCGTATGACCTACATAGAGCCCGGTGAAGGAGGTTAAAGCGTACATTGTGCCAGACCTGTTCATTAGCCTTTTATTTCCTCTCTGAGAAGAGTGCGCCAGGGAAAACTCTCCATCAGTGCTGCCATCTCAATGAAACCATGTGATTTGTTTTAACTCTCCGTCTCTCTCTGTTGCAGGAATATAACATGACCAGATTAAATGGATGAAACCAGTCACTCTTCAACACCCGGGATCATATGGTGAAAATGAAACGTCTGTTGTGCAGTTAAAATAACCCAAAAATATAGATCACTGACTCTTCGAAGATTAACCAACATCAACTTCTCAGTCCATATCGGCCCTCTTTTCTTGTCACGCCTGCCCTTGTCTGGTCAGAGCCACCATGTACGGTAGTGCCCGATCCGTGGGTAAAGTGGAGGGTAATCACAGTGGCGGGAGCAATCAGAGTCCCGGTCGTTCGCCCCGTCTCCCGCGCTCGCCCCGTCTGGGCCACAGCCGCACCAACAGCGCAGGGGGCAGCGGAGTGGGAATAGGAGGTCCAGGGGGTAAAACCCTTTCCATGGAGAACATCCAGTCCCTCAACGCTGCCTACGCCACATCTGGCCCCATGTACCTGAGCGACAATGAAGTGGTGGTATCCGGCCCGGACCTGCCGAAGAGCACCATGACGCTGGGCCGCTCGGGGGGCCGGGTGCCTTACTCCATCCGCACGACTATCATGGGATCCAGCCCGAACATCGCCACCGGCTCCGCGTCCACCGATTCCATTGCTTTCGGAGACCACCATATGCCTTCCAACCTGGCGTCCACTGTGCCTCATTCTCTACGCCAGGCGCGGGACAATACCATCATGGACCTGCAGTCCCAGCTCAAGGAGGTGCTCAGGGAGAACGAGCTCCTGCGGAAGGAGGTGGATGTGAAAGAGAGCAAACTCAGCTCCTCCATGAACTCTATTAAGACCTTCTGGAGCCCCGAGCTGAAAAAGGAGCGCGCACTGCGCAAGGACGAGGCCTCGAAGATCGGCGTGTGGAAAGAGCAGTACAGAGTCGTCCAGGATGAGAACCAGGTGAGACTGTTATGTACGCTTACGTGGAGAAGTCATTTTAAGACCACACATTTAACTTCTGTGAGTAAATCAGAGGAGTCTTTTATGCTCACACCTTATTTAAAAAGCAAAATTGATAGGGATGGATTCATATAATTATTCTGTATGACAAGTCATAATTATTTTCATGTTTTGGCCAGTAAATACTTTACAAATAAAACACTGAAATTGAAATAAAGATTAAAAACTTTTAACTTAGTTAAGTTTAAATGAGCATCGGATGATGATTAGATGGCAAATGTAATATAAATGTAAAAATAGGTGGAACTTAGCATGAACCAATACAATTTACAACATCTGTCGACATGTATGCCGACATTTTATGCACAGAGATGCACCGATATGAAAATTTTGACCGATACGTATAATTATTTATATTTGAAAGCCGATAAGCGATATATTTTCCGATACATCTAAATCCAATTTGTTTTTGAACGGATTTCATGCACAGGCTTTGCAATCATGTGTTTCACAGGACGTTTCAGAATGGTATGTTTTGTTTTGTTTTTGTAATTTTAGATAAGATGTTTTACACCATTTAATCGTGATAATTGAAAACTAATCCAAACAGTAATCAACAACTTTTTTTTGCATATTCCATGGGCGGGGATTATTAAAGTGAGGAAAAATCACGTTGTAGTCCAAAAAAAATGCGTAGAATTATAGTGAGAATATTTTATTGTGTGCTTGGGACATGGCTTTTAATGGTGAGACTTTTGTTTTTGTAATCAGGCTATTAAAAATTCTAAAACAAATTAGATTTAATTTGAATGACAAAATTAACCATGCCTCATTGGCTATTTACATCTGAGTGAGTAGAGCGGGCTGTTATGAAGGGGCGGGACATTTCCCGAACATGAGCTAAGTGGTGTCAATCAAAGCACACTTGCCCAGCTAACCAATCACAGCAAATTTCGGAAGGAAGGGGCTTCATTGAAGCGTCCCAGGTCCAGGTCCCAGACTTAATGTAAAAATGCGTGAAATAGTATGCGTTTTTTTAACAATCAAGCATGAAAACATATTCGAGCACACCCAAAAAAACTAAATCAAGAGGACCCCTTTAAAATATTTAAAATAGTGAAGTTTATACTGTAATTTTCATTAAATAAATGCAGCTATGAAGAGCATAAGGGACAAAACATAAAATCTTACCAACCATGTATTCCTATATATATATATATATATATATATATATATATATATTAATTATTGAAGCATCTGAGTTAAACATTTCTAGATGTCGCTACATGTTGGTCAGTTATATGTCTGAATATGGTCTCTTTTCTCTTCTGTAAGCTGGAATATGCAGGTCTTTTTTGCAGTTTGCAGTAGCCAAAGGGCTTCATCTGATGAAACACTATGATACAAAATGGTCCAACTGGCTCTGAGAAAAAACCCTATTACTTGCAGATTGGATCTGATTTCTGAAGAACATTGTACAAGGCATGTCTTTAGAAATAGCTCAATTTGTCTTTTAGTGTTTTTTAAATGGCTTGCTGAGAGCCTCTGAACATCTCAGAAGAAGCTACATGATAATCAGAGCAGTTGGAACGTGTTACGATATAAAAAAAAAACACTAGATAAGTGGATCTTTGGCATTTTTACATTAAAATGAACAACAGTTTGATTCATCTACAGATTCCTTAATTTCTCTTCTCCAGACTGTAGTTTAACACATCCTGACATTTCCCGTTTTTTTCTCCGTCCTCCATGCTGGATTTTAGCTCTGGTGTAAGCTGTAATTTAGCTATTTCCCATGTATTTTTAGGGCCTGCAGTCTACAGCATGTTGCAGACTACAGCTAGCACGTGGCATATATACAGTATATTAACTGTTATCATTATACCAGCACTTGTTTTCAACAGAAGACGTTTTATGCATTTAGTCTAGTCTACAGTATGTGAGTCTGGCATAGCCAGAGTTTTCACCATTGAGAACTGGAACCTTGAGGAAAGACCATCTGTATGTCTCAGTGCAGTGTGTATTTGTAGTTAACTTTGAACTCAGTTGGATTCTAGGGACCTTCAACACTCTTTCGGCACATGGCTCTGATCCTGCTTCGCTTTTGCCTGGGCTGAACCATGAGGCTAATGAGGGGCTCATAATCATTACCTTTGATGCCCTTCATTCAGCTCTCCTGCTTGAAGGCTCGGGTGATGTTTTTTGAGTAATCCAGTGCAGGGTTTAAACCATACGACACCTCACATGGTCTGCTTAGTACAGGGAATTGGTATATTTGACTGATGAAGTCATGCGGGGGTTTATCAAGATAAACTAGATCAATATTCAAAAGAACCTTGATCAGTTAAATGAACTCATCAAATTCTCTGGAGAGAGAGAAGCATTCAAAGAAGGGATGAAGGAGCAGGATAAAGTGGATTGAGAGTTGAATGCTCCTTTGAGACCTTGTCAATAATGAGATGTGACACAGCAAACACGTCTAGTCAGCCAATTCTCATTCATTCACCTCCTCTGCTCATATCTCTCTCTTCAGTCATTCAGCCCACATGCTAGTTTGCTGGATTCGTGAGCACACCCTTTCGCTTTCCTTTAGGGGTGCACTGATGATGATGATATTATGGATGAATTAGAAAAGCAAAAATATAAATATGCATTTTATATTATGTATGTGGGATAACTGAGGAATTGCTAAAAATATTTGAATAATTGGTCTAAAAATTAATAGTTTTTTTTAATGTCTAAATGATTTTAAATGAATGAATTTGAATTTAGGCAACCCAACATTGATATACAGTATGAGATTTGCTAAAGATTACATTTAACGATGTTATTACTAGTGTTTTTAAAGATTAACTTTCATTTATCTAAATGTAAAAATTGATGATTTTAAATTAATGAATTTGAATTTAGGCAACCCAACATTGATATACGATTTGATACGATTTTAAATCATTTTAAATTATTTTAAATGAATGAATTTGAATTTAGGCAACCCAACATTAATATACAGTATCAGATTTGCTAAAAATTACATTTAACGATGTTATTACTAGTGTTTTTAAAGATTAACTTTCATTCATCTAAATGTAAAAAATGCCGATATGAGCATGTGCAATTAAATATGCACTATATTGTGCATTCCTATTTCCAACAGTATACTGTGACTATATTTTTTTTCTGTTATAAATAACCATATGCATAAATGTGGACATGTTACTTTCAAGTCTATGGATTTAAATGATCCTTAGACTTTTTCTTCCAGTCGTTCTCGTGAACTGCTGTGCCATTTCCAATATTAGCAAACACGTTCATGCGAGCCTTTCAGACAGATCGACTGAGCCAATCGGGTGTCCATCAAAGTGTGTTTTCTGTAAGCATGCGTGTGTCTGCCCTCTGAGGAAGCGGGAACAGATGGCAGACGCGGCTCCTGATGCGCTTACTGTTGTAGTGTTGTAAAAGGTCCAAAGATTCACGCCCGATCCCTCAATCTCCTTATCAAACAGTGTCACTTTTCACAGCCAAGTTCCGCCCACACCAATAATCACTGTTCCGGTCAGGCTGTTTGTTCCTAATCTGACATGTTTGAGTCACATACTCGGAGCAGAGCAGATAGTGTAGGGGTTTGTTTGCTGTGTCATGTCAGTAAAAATGTAACCTAGAAGGGTAGCAGATGGCCAAGGGTGGAGCCAGGAGCCGGCCAAACCTCAGGTCATCAAGCTCCACACGCTCTCAGATGGAAATAAACATCACACGCTGCGCTGAATGACTAGGAACCATGAAAATATCTCACATGATTTTCTTGTACAGTACGTCCTGTTGTCCTGATTATGGTGTGAGGTCTGTATTTACTCATTATGAAATAGATAATTATCCCATTTCTCATAGCAGAATGACTGTCATACAATGTGCTGTGTGTACAGTGTAGGAGCAGGGCTGTAAACCCTATAGATTTTTTGGATTAATATGGGGTTTTAAGTGACATGTCCTTAAACTTTTATGTTTGGTCTTCTAAACCCACAACATGTGTGATTCATGGCCTTAAAGAAGTAGTTCACTTTTGAAAAAAAACATTTGCTGATAATTTACTCACCCCCATGTCATCCAAGATGTCCATGTTTTTTTCTTCAGTTGAAAAGAAATTAAGGTTTTTTTTTAATGAAAACATTCCAGGATTTTTCTCCATATAATGGACTTCAATGGGAACCAAACGGTTCAAGGTCCAAAAGACAGTTTCAGTGCAAACTGTTTAAAGTGGCCTTAAACGATTTCAGACGATGAATAAGGATCTTATCATTTAAAAAAAATAAAAATAACAAAGTTTAAGTTTTATAAGCTCAAATGCTCTGTGATGCACGTTCGTGACTCTACCGTTCGAACTCGTTCATCAAAATGAACGAATCTTTTTCCGAGTCAATTCGCTCGTTTCGTTCATTGATCATTGATCAATATTTGGCATGAAACGATGATGGAGCAGTGAATGGGTTCTGTACACAGCAGAATGACACAACAAACTCTTTTTTTTTTTTTTTTAAATGGCGTTTATCTTGTTTTGGAAACGAGCTCTTCATATATTTGAATTGATCATGCTTACAATTGTTGCCTGTGAACATTAAAAAAGGCCAGAATATCATAGCTGTGCTTTTTTGACTTAGGCCAGTAAGCAACCACCTATCGAGGACACCCTAGCAACCACACGACACCCTAGCAACCACATAACACACTAAAAATGACTCCGAACACCTTAGCAAACGCAACGCCCTAACAACAATCCACAACACTTTTGTTTCTCTTGAAGAGCTCAAGTTTAAAAATAAACCATTCTCAAGTCTATAAAACCAGCAAGTGCAAAACCAGTGTTTTTGGGCTTGCCTTGTTTGCTTTCTCAAGCATTCAATGCTGACAAGGAAAGTCTAACAATGTTTGAGTCATGTTATCTGTGCCATCTCAAGAGCGATGTAGTAAAAGTGTGGAAGAAAGAATGCAGGCACAACCGATCATAT